TTTCCAAGATTGAGAAAGATGGTTTGGCCTTGGTGCAGTGGTGAGTCTGAAACTGTCCAGTCAGGACTCGGGATGGCAAAATAGAGCCCAGACGCCTTCAACCAGCCAGCAGCCTTCCCTGCTACAGAGGCCCTGCTCTGCTCCTGGCACATGCTGGGGCCCCTCATCCAGCTCCGGCTCTCTCACGGAGAGGTGGAGGAGAAGGTATTGCTGGCTCTTGGAGATTCAGATGAGAAGCAGGCCAAAGGCCCAAGAAGTTCCATGAGGGATCTCGCAGCGGATGTGGCGTGGGTCTGGAGAAGACACTTCTCTCCTCTGTAGGAAAGGAAGCCTCTGACTGGAGAAGCCCTGCTCTGTTCCCCAGCCCCAGCCTCTCTGGCTTCACCTCAGCCCAACCCTTATCTCAACACTCGGAACCACTCGCTCCAGTAAGACCCTGCATGAGGTCTGGGCAGATTTACACCCAACGTTACCAGTAACACACAGCTCTGAGCCCTCCGCCACCCCATCCTCACCAGCCCTCGCCACAGGCCGAGGAGCAGTCGAAGCCATTGCGCTGGTTCGGGGCCGATGGGCTCACCTCCGCACACGGCAGCACTGCATTTCAGAGCGGCCCCAGCAGTGGGGACCCCACCGAGGCCCCCCACCGCCCTCCCATACCAACTAAGCAACTCACGGAGCCCGTGTGCACTGGTCGCTTTCCAGATGCCATGGGGAAAAGGTGTAAAGGGAGAAAAAGCAATTAACCAGCAAGACAGAGGGGAAGGGAAAACCTAGGGTGGGGCCCCCACCTGGGAGGCCAGGGCACCGAGTCCAGAAACGTCAGCGACACACGCAGCTCCCGGCGCAGGCGGGGACATTAGTCAGCTCACCTTTTACGTGAAATTAATACAAAAATTAATCAGAGGCGCAGGCAGGATAATAGGATTTCACAGTGGTGCCAGGCCAGGCGGCCACCGTGCCGAGCGCCAGACTCATTTAATATCGACAGAAACAGTGCCAGAGGACAGAAATAAGACCCATAAAGATAATTACTGAGATACTCAGGAGCAAATTAAGCAATCAGAGGCACTTCTAAATTGTGGCTCGTTGGAAAAGAATGCTATCTTTTTCGATTACCTAAGCAGGCGTTTAGCAGGAGGCTCATCTGCCCCATGCTGCACGGGGCCCGGGCTCGCCTTTCATTCTGCTTCACAGGGCTCATGGCAGCTTCCCCTCCCCGTTTGCCACAGGTGTAATAAAGAAAGAGGGGAAAATTATATTCAAAAACAGATGCCTGGCCCTGGATGTCACCTGCAATTTAATCTGAAATAGCAGGAGGCCGAGAGAAAAAGAGGCGTGCTGCATTTTCCCATAACGAGCGGAAACATATGGTCAGCTAAACTTTGATTAAGGTGACCTGGCTGGCGGGCGGGCAGAGGCAGCGAGTGCATTGTGGGGGAGTGGGCTAGTAGGAGACTGTTGCCGAGAGAGGACAGAGTAGCTCCGAAGTGGCATAAAGCGAATCAGTGGCCTGTGGATCTCTTCTTACCCGCCCCTCGGACTTGGGGGGCGGGGGGCGCTGGGGGCAGGAGGAGGAGAACCCGGCTCAATAAAGACAGCAGCAGTGAGAGAAAGGGACAAGCAAGGCCTACAAAAAATGCTACAAGCAAAGAGACAAACAGGTGCGCCTGGCATGGCTGGCCCAGGATAGGGGAGGGTGTGAAGAGCCTCCCCCCCCCATGCAGTTTTCAGGCACAAACGCTGTCCCTGCACTGCCTGCTCCCTCCGAGCACCCTGGAGCAACAGCCACCATACAGGGGCCTTGCTCCCTGGCATCGGCATGCGGCACCCTCCGTCTGGGCTGGTGCAGGCGGCACCCAACGCCTCCCAGATTTCCCTCGGAGAGGCCAGAGCTGCACCTGCACGCGGCCCAGTGACTCAGCGGCACAAGCTAGCCCAAGTGCCCGGAGAGCACTGGGATACTCGCATCTGGGGACGGCAACGTACGCCGCTGCTGCTCCTCTGCTCACACCGGGCATCACACCGACGTTACCAGCCCGGTCAGAAATGCCATAAGTAATTAAAAACGAAACCATGGCTGTCAAAAGACGCACAAAACAGTCCCTCTCCCACTGAATTTGCAAAATCCAGTTGGTTGCCTTCGAGCAAATCAGCCAGAATCGGCTGCATGGCAACTCGTTGCTGTATAGGCCTTCGGTGCCAGAGCTACTGGCCTCGGCAGCGGGGCCAAGAACTGGATGTGCATGGAGGCTGCACGCCACTCTCTCCCTTCCGCGCACTGGGGACGCTGCACCTCTGCTGCGTCTGTTCTATAGGGAGGAGGGCAGGACCCCTTGGCGCCATCACTCCAAGGTCTTCTCACACCTGCTCTGCACATGCTCATGTGAAGCTTAGGCTCATAGGGAATCAGGCCCAATCCCAGCCCTGGGAGCCAGGGAAGGTCCCATTCAGCTGTGGTGTGGATCGGACGTTGGGCAGCCAGCCAGCCACTGCACCTATTCACCTGATCCCTCTCTCTCCCCGACACGAACGCTTCGCTCGCTCTGTTATTCCACTTGCCACTCAGCGCACTAACAGCAGGGCAGCATGGTTTCAGACCCGCGGGTCACCCCACCACGGGACTTCACTCATTCCACGACACATGGTAACATCTCACACGGGACCGGGTGCACAAAGGCCTATTAACTCCCCCACTTCCAAAGCTCCTTGGTAATTTAGACATATTTCAGACAAGGAATCCTCCCCTAGCCTGAACATCCACAAGGCAGGACACAGGAAGAACCCAGCCCTTGCTCGTGAACCTGCCAGCACCCAAAGTAGATTGTGCACTAATTGATCCATTGAAGGGGCTCGGGATTCCTTGCGCCCCCTCTGTCCCGAATGGGAGGAGGAGGAGGAGGAAGGTGATGGTCTTTCCAAAAACTTTCCTCCTCCTTTTACTGAGTGCAGCATTAGGCAGGCTGGTGGGTGTTTCCCAGGATCAGCCTCTATGGTTCAGAATCCCTCGCAAACAACAGCTTGCAGACGTGCCTGTTGCCAATATTAGAGAATGACAAGCCATCTTCACCCCCCCGGCCCACCCCTAGCCCTGAGTCCCACGGCAGTAGGGGAAGGGAACCTCTGAAGCCCTGCGCGCACGTTCCCTGAGCCTGGCTCAGAAGAAACGTAGCTCGGTATCCAGGCGTGACCGAATAGCAATAGTTTTACAACAGCAACACTCAGTTGCCTTCCGGACGCTAATAAGAAAAAGACCTGAGCGATGCTGTAAGCTCTGAGCAAGCGTCTACACGCACAGACACACGCTCGGTTTGCTCCGCACACTGAGCCAGCAGTGGGCTGCAAGACAGAGCCCTGCGAGAGAGGAGAGGGGGTGGCAACCTTCCCGTTCTGGCACAGGGAGCAGCTGAATGCTCAGTGGGGAGAGCCCCTGGTGTCCTTCTCCACTAAGTCTATTGGAAACACTGGGAGGATCTTCCCCTGGGGCACAAGAGGAACTCAGCCCTGGTCTACACTAGGCGGGGGGTCGACCTAAGATACGCAACTTCAGCTATGCGAACAGTGTAGCTGAAGTCGGCGTATCTTAGGTCGACTTACCTAGCCGTGAGGACGGCGGCGAGTCGACCGCTGCTGCTCCCCCATCGACTCTGCTTCCGCCTCTCGTGAGCTGGAGTTCCGGAGTCGACGGGGAGCGTGTTCGGGGATCGATTTATCCACGTCTAGACGAGACTCGATAGATCGATCTCTACCCGCCAATCCGGCGGGTAGTGAAGACCTGCCCTCAGAGACCAACGTGAACTGAAAGGAAAGGTGCCTTCAGAAATACAAACAAGTTTGTAGATTAAGGCCACATGGGCCCACTGTATCATCTAGCCTTAACATGGGCATTCCCCTGACTAATTCCTGCTTCACATCCAATAGCTGTGGTTGAACTTGTTTTTTCTAAAAGATACAGTCATCTGATCACTTCAGACCCTTCCCATCTCGACTTAAAATGGCAAATTCAGCAGTTGGTTTGATTGTGCTGGGGTGCACAGGTAGGGGAAAATACGTCTCCAGGAAAATACAGATCATTAACCAAATACCTTGGGGCTGTCACACGCTAAAAAGCGGAGCTTTAGTAGTTGATTTGTCTTCAGCCCGGAACGCTTACAAATCCAACGGAGACCAGTAGAAAAATATCCACTCCCCTCTTTAAAACACACATTCATCACTTGAGAATCTTAATGTGTCTTTCCCAGCCGGAGAGGTCAAACCCGCCTGCCTAAAGCAGGCTCATTAAATATACATTTAATCATGGTTTGGATTGAGAGACAAAGGCTGCTCGAGACAGGTGCTTTACTGGAGTGACCTTTTGGAACCCATTTTAATGTAACTAGTTTACAGCTTATCTGAAAGGCCAGCTCGTCAGGAACAGCAGAGCTACAGCAAAACTGGGAAAAGTAATTATCGGCGAGGGAGGGGGAAGGGGGGGTTAGAGATATTTTAAGGAGGCTTCAGAGCAGGTGTTTGCCACGGCGCTTTGGAGACGTTGCTGCAAAATTTTCTGAAGTTCGACTTATCAGCCAAAGCGACTCAATTTAATTCGCTTATCACGTCTCCTTCCTTTCCCCCATCCCCTCTCCTGATTTTCCTGTTCTTTTTAATTATCAATTAAAGAAATGTCTTTTTCAACGAGACAAGAAGCATCAAAGCAGCAAGTAGGCAAATGCTTCCTATCCGGGAGGAAGGGAAAGGGACACGGGCTGCCTTCCGTCTCCCATAGCAGGAGAGGCACAGGGCAGAGAGGGGCCTCAGGGCTAACCCGCTCCATGGGACAGGGTGCTTGGAAAAGACAGCTCAAGGGACAGCCAAGCACGAAGCCTGACAGAGCCAAGGGAGGTTTGAAGGTCAATGAATAACTTGATGCCAGGAAATGAACTGGGGAGATCAGGGCAGGAAGCCCCCTCTCAGTGCACAGCATATGCCGCCTCCCTGGCAAAGTCCCGACAGGCACTTACACTTCCGCGGCTCCAGGGTCTTGTTTGGACATGCGAGGTGCTGGGCTGGCGGGTTCTGGGTTCTCTGGAGACAGGCCAACATGGTCCAAGTGTTGGAGAGCGCTGCTGGAGTCACGACTGGAGACCCTCACGCTGCAAACAGACAGAAAGGGAAGGCGTCAATAAGCAAATGGGATCGGCCATGGCAGCTGAGCGTCACATGGCCTCTCTCCCCCTCACGAACACTGCATGTGGCTGGGAAAGCCGGCCTGTGAGCTAGAGAGCGTGTGATGGGCGGGTAACGCTGGGTCGACGTGCATTAAAAGCAACGTTTGTCAGAAGCCCAGTCATAGACGCCGACTCTGTGGGTGCTCTGGGGCTGGAGCACCCATGGAGAAAAATTGGTGGGTGCAGCCAAGCTCCCCACCCCAGCTCACCTCACCTCCTCCCCTGAGCATGCCGCGTCCCCACTTTTCCTCCCAGCGCTTGCCGCCACAAAATTTCGCAGTGTAACAAGCTGTGGGAGGGAGGGGGAGGAGCGGGAACACGACGTGCTCAGGGGAGGAGGCGGGGCCGGTGTGGGGATTTGGGGAAGGAGTCCAATAGGGATAGGAATGGGGGCGGGGCAGGGGTGTAGTCAGGGCAGGGCCGGGGGTGGCGGCGAGGGTCAAGCACCCACCAGCGCCAGGAGAAGTTGGCGCCTATAAGCCCAGTGACCACAACTGTTTTATACATTTCCTGTTAACGTTGGATGGGAGACGACCTTTCTTACACACTACGGAAATTTCATCCCATTCTAGGTTTTCTCCAACAGAAAATCAAAACCTGAACAATTTGTAATTTAAGACTGAAAACATTTATTTTTCATACCCCGTCGCTCCAAAATCCTCTCTACCCCCCAAAAATGTTTGCTTCGTTCCCACTCCAGCCCCGCAGGTAACATCCCCTCAGCAGGGCGGCACAAGACACCGGCACGCGACTTTCACGCTTGTGCAGCGTACAGCGGGGCATTTGCAACGGCAGCTCCAGAAGGCTCTGCAGGTTACCGAGGTCCTGGGCTCCTTGGCTGCCTTCACTGCAACCCAGGTGTGATTTTACTTCGAGATATCTACATACAAAGCCCTAGTGGAGACAAAGCTCTGCAGCTTTTATCTTGATGTAGCTAGGTGAGCGGGGGGGAGCATCGTGTTGACCTTGGCTAGCTACATGGAGGTAAAAGCTACTTGCACAGTGTCTGCGCTAGGTCTTTACTGCCTGGTAGTTATCCCGAGCAAACTACCTAGATGTTAGCACACGCCTCCTTTGCAGTGACACCCGAGGCCCGGGGCTGGCGGAGGCAGGGCTGTGTGTTTGGAGTTCCTATAACAGGGGGCTGCCTTAGGACAGACTCCAGGCGAGCAGACCAAACCCCATCAGCGAGGGACGCCCCCCCCATCTGCTGTGAGACACGCTGACATCACACAGAGGGGGCAAAGGGCAATGTGCACGCCCCAGACCGCTCGCTAACGCCTCCAAGATGTCCTGCCCATTAATTATCCAGCCTCCTGAGCTGATTCAGCATGGCTATCTCCAGGATCCAGGGTCACACATGGCTGTGAAGTTATCAGCGTCTAGCTATGATGACCGTGCTCTCCACCCAGAAAGGCAGCGAGAGCTCCTGTCCCAAAGAACTTCCTATATCCCACATAAAGGGCGAAGGGAGGGGAGCGACACATACAAAGATTCTTACATATAAATCAATGAGCCACTCCCACCTGCCCCTCAATCTAACCATGATTAGCGAGCCACTTCCTCCCAGGTAGCCTGGCCAAGCGGGTCCCGAGGAGGGATCCCAAAGAGAAGAGGGTTTCAGTTCCTATTCTGCCTCTGAGGATGCAGCCTGCATACCCCGAACAGCCCACCGCCGCCCCTGCAACGTGCTGATGCCAATGTCAGACAGCGGGAGACAGGCTGCTTGATTGTTCGCTGGCATGATGGACACCATCTCCTCGCAGTACATCATAAAGCATTCGATTATTTCCCCTGCAAGCTGGCCATTAAGATCCCAGCCTAGATCAAACCCTCCATGTCAAGTGGATATTGGGAAAAGCCCCTATTAAAAACCACTCGAGTCCCAGCGTCTGCCACCAGAGCTCAGGCTGGCCTCGAAATCTAGTTGACTAGAGTCAGAGGGGTCAGGCCAAAGTCATCCCCAACAACGATTTGCACATTTGGAGCTACGGTAATTGTATATCCCCTTCAGGAGCCTAGATGGAAGGCATAAATTATAACTAATTCCTCCTGATGTACTCTCACTGCCTCGAGTGACTCCTGAACTGAGCTTTCCTTCAGACGGGGCAAGCAGAGGTTGACTTGAAGCATAAGAAAAGCAGGCTGCAGTCCCTGTCCTTCAGAGCGAGAAGTTCTGACCCATTGCTCTCGCTGGTTGAAAGTTACTGACGGCTGGATGTCACAGCCGATCCATCACATGGCCCAACGCTGTGTCACGGAAAGTCTGCCCCATCTCCGCTATTCCAGGCAGAGAGGGGACCGTTCTTACCCGCACCGACCCAGACCTCGGCGGGCAGGGAGCACCACTTGACAGGGCAAAGGGGCGGGCAGGGCTACAGGGAAGAGGACTCAGCCGGCTTTAAACGCATTGGGTTCTTTGGTATATTGTGCACTTACACATAACCCCAGAGAAGATCGCCACTTTCCCCTCCAACAGGGGGCAGCGATGTGTGTGCAAATCCCCCCCCCACTCCCACCCATATGCAATATCTTTTTCAAGAGAGTCAGGGAGTGCATGCGTTCTGTTTTCCCAGTTTCACTCTCACCCTTCTAAGAATGAATCCCATTCATGGCATTTCAACCTGGGTATTTCCTCTTTACACAGAGCAAGCATCCAGAACCAGGACCTGACCCGGCTCTCCCTGCAGGTCAGCACAGAACACCAGCCGGTCAGCGCAAGCTATCCCAGCCCGCTGCTCCGCAGCTTCATTCAGACAGCATCGAAAGCACGCAGCTGCTGCACAGACAAATACCATCTACGCCCTGACGCACCTGCGAGGTAACTTGTAATAAAGTAAAATTAACAACAATCCCCCCCTCCCCTCCGCTGGTCTCTAGCGCCTCCCACCCACACACAAGTCACAGTGCTGCACAAGCAGTAGCTGACACTGCTCAGTGCTGGGGTTGCCAGGTGCCCGGTTTTCAACCGGAACGCCCCGTCGAAAGGGGACCCTGGCGGCTCCGGTCAGCACCACTGACCGGGCTGTTAAAAGTCTGGTCAGTGGTGCAGCGGGGCTAAGGCAGGCTCCCTGCGTGCCCTGGCTTTGCGCAGCTCTCGGACACGCTGGCCACTTCCAGGAGCCGCCTGAGGTAAGCGCCGCCTGGAGCCTGCACCCCTCACCCCATCCTGCGCCCCAACTTCCTGACCCAGCCATAAGCCCCCTCCCGCACTCCAAACCCCCTGCCCCAAACCTGAGCCCCCACCTGCACCTTAAACCCCTCATCCCCAGTCCCACTCCAGAGCCTGCACTCCCAGCCAGAGCCCTCACCCCTTGCCTGAGCCTGGAGCCCCCTCCTGTACCCTGAACCCCTTATTTCGGGCCCCACCCTGGAGCCTGCACCCCCAGCTGGAGCCCTCACACCCTTTTGCACCCCAATCCCCTGCCCCAGCCCTGAGCCTCCTTCCACACCCAAACCCCTCATCCCTGGCCCCACCCCAGAGCCCGCACGCCCAGCCAGAGCCCTGACCCCTCTTGCACCCCAATCCCCTGCCCCAGCCTAGTGAAAATGAGTGAGTGTGGGGGGGATGGAGTGAGCGGGGGCAGGGTCTCGGAGAAGGGGCAGGGTAAGGGTGTTCAGTTTTCTGCAATCAAAGTTGGCAACCCTACCCAGTGCCCCTGGGGGAAGGCGAGTGCAATAGGGTGCAGTTTACAGATTAGGAATGTGGGGTGCAGAGTGGGGGAAGTGGACACACAGCGAGTCTGTGTTGGGACCAGAACCCAGGAGACCCCAATGGCTGTCTCCTGATGAAGCTGCTAGAGAATTCTCTCCCTCAGCCACAGAAATCCTTGGTCTGCACATGTTAGGGGAAACCTCTCACGGACCAGCCTGGGGTGGGTTTCCATGGCCCAGGCCCCGATGCTCACCTGAGCAATGGTGTTTAATGCCAGAGCTGCTGCCAGAGACCCTCCCTGCAGGCTCATGGATGTGGCACCGGAAACTCCTGCACACACGACTCCACTCGCCGCCTCGGGGGGAGCTCACGACTCCGCCCCCCCAGCAGGCTTTGCCAACAGACACAAAATGGCCTGTAACTCGCTCTGGATAGTTCTAACGCTGGGGAACCCCAGGGCTGGACACGGAAGAAGAACAAGTCCCCTTTTCATTATTTCCAAAGCAGCCAATAATCCCACAGGGGGAGGGGAAGGCCCATCAGGGCTTGGTCACTTCATCACATGCCGGCAGGATGTGCGAGCCAAGCTGAGACGAAGGAGAACGACATGCCATTAGCTAGATCAGAACGGGTAAGAACACTGCCACTGTCCCTCACTTCCCGCTACCTCCCCCCGGGCCTCCAGAACGGACGGCAGCCGAGGAGGAGGGTGACTGAGACAAGACGAGAGGCATCCACAAATCCTAGCCTAGGCCTCCTGCGACGCGCACTTAGCGAGTGAGGGAACCCCACCCGACAGACCTCAGCTGCTCCCGGCCATTCGAGCCCAGGGGGCAGGCCCTCGAGAAAGATCTGAGATAGACACCCACATAACCAACTGCCACCCAAATCCACCCAGGGCTCTGCAATAAAGTTAACCCTCCGCCCACATCACGTCTGTCCATCCAGTGGAGTTCCTTTTCCTAGGCACTGAGCGCTACAGATTTGTTAACGACCAATATCAGAGAGGGAATTCCCATCTCATCCCTCCTCTTCCCCCCCGTGGCCAGTACAAACTGTTCTCTTCACTGCGTTCGCGAAGCTTTGCCCAAGCTCGTTTTATGGCAAGTTCCTCCGTCCTCCTTTTCCGTATGGCTCAGAGCACGCAAAGGACTCCAGGATAGATCCTGCACAGAACCTTCTACCTGGTCGGTGCTCAGACCCGAGCACTGCTCCGGGAGACCTGCCAGCTGGACAAGCAGGGAGCACAAACCCACTCTGCTCCCAGGCA